AGGTATGTATGTGCACGTGCACCCGTGCGTGTCTCCGCCTGTGTAAATAATAAATAAAATAGTGTATAGTGACATTGAGCAATTTTTCCCATGAATATAGCGTGTCTTAAAAATGTATTTTATCATAATTAACTAATTGATAAAGATTAGAACTCTTTCACTACTTTTATAACAATACTCTACACAGATCAGTTTTATCCCTAAAATAGATCTTCATTTATACCTACATTTTTTGTATGTATATAATTATAAATCTACTAAAACAAATATATTACACCAACGAACGTCACGTAAATTTGCCAAAAGATAGACATTAAATTCAGGTGATTTTTGTACAGAAAATGCAAGGATAGACAAAATAATAGTTTTGCGCAATAAGTGAGGAAAAATCACATCAGAAAGCATACGAGGCTTTCGAAAATGTCTTACAAAATCAGATGAAGATAAGAGATTATCAGAAATAAAAAAAATCAAAGGCGGATTAATAATAATTAATAATTTTCTATAATAATTTATTCATAATCTCTTATATCACATTGCATGATGGGCAGCCTCATGACATAAAAAGAAAAAGATTTTACATGACAGCGTTGTACTTCTCTTTACGAATGTTAAAAAATATTATGGACAGATAAAGAAAGCTTAACGAAAGTATGAACCACACTGAAACGCATACATACAATAAGAAAATGTCAGTTGATCTTTATGGAGCTCATAATGAAGAAGTAGTGGTTACAGAATGTAATGTGCTCAGAATACATGGATGAATATTACATTCTGTCGTTAATTGGAGCAAGGAATACCTTGTGAATTTTAACGCCTCCAAATCGAATAAGTCCCTATTAATCGGCTGACAGAACAATTTCTGCCTTCCATCTACTTTTATGGGCCGTGTCCCTTCAGGACGTAGACGATCATGGCTCTCCACCTCCTCCTGTCTCTCAATAAGTTTTGTCTTTTTGTTATTTTCTTCAAAACCTCTTTTTCCATCATTTATACCCATTAAGAAAGTCACGCATGTCTTCTCTTGTTCCCCATTCCATTTATCCGCCCTGTGAGTATTAGATTTTCCAAGCCCTTCTTTCTCATTACTTGCCCCAGAAATTTTGGCTGCCTCTTTCTGATGTTAAGTATAAGTTTCCTCTTTGCATTCTCTCCAAAACGTTATCGTTGCTCACACGTTCGGTCCATGATATCCGTAGCATCCTTCTGTAGAACCAAACCTCCGTTGCCTAGAGTCTCTTCTTCATCTTTGAGGAGATTGTCCAACATTCACTGTCGTAAAGGAGGACAGATATCATCTAATACTTCAGTACGTTTTTTCTTTGTTACCAACGAAACCCTCCTGTCTCTTATTCATTGTCATCATCCTTCGACCTTCCTGTGGTTGATCGGAACACCATTAATAACCCTTTTACACATTGCTCGGTCTAGCATTGCCTTCCACATATCCCTAATGTCGAACACGGTGTCCCGAATCATGGTGTTTGGGAAAAGTCAACTTTCGTGAGAATACACATCCAGAAAGGAGTCATAGAAGGAATTATGAGTCAAACTCCCCGTACACAGAACATAGTCCAAAACAACTATAAACAGAAAAGGAGCAAATCTGCCGCCTTGTAGAATCCCTGCTTTAACATCAAATGAATCAGTCTCGCCATCAGGCGATATAATGATGGCAGTGGTGTTCTGCAGAGAGCTCTAATTACCTCAACAATTTTGGACGGTATACCTTAAAGTTGGAGGATTTTGAACATGCGATTACTGTTGATAGAATAAAACGCTTTGCGGAATTCAACAAAAGAGATTGTCGCGTCTTATTGAATTTTTTCAACTCTTCCAGAATAGAGAGAATTTGAAATGCTTCCGCCCTGACTCTTGTAAAACCATGCTCTTTCTCGTGGAGGGGTGGATATTTGATAGAGATAATTCTTTTTTGCAGAAGCTTATTTAAACTTTTGCTACAATTGCCATCAGAGTTATACCACTATAGTTTGCCGCACTTATTAGATCGCCGCCCCCTTTTTTTTTGAAACAGGGACAATTCTGCCCTTCCGCCAAACTGAAGGTGGTGAATGTTGTATGAATGTATGGTTGCGAAATGCCCTGTAATACTCTGCCTCGCTTTTGGAATGCGTTCTTGTCCAACGTAATACGTCTACAAATCTCAGCTTAGCACTTTATGCCCTCTGTCAGAAAACTTCCCAGATATTTTAAATTTCCACGCCTGCTTGATTTTAGGGTCTGTCTTTATTTCTGAGATGAGGTATTATGTACATTATTTACATTATTCGGACTATTGTCCTCATCCTTGTCCCCAGAGAAAAGCAGTGATAACAACACAGTTGCAATATGAGCTCTGGTAAAGACATGCAATGATAACAGCAAAAATTGCAATATGGACACTGGTAAAAATGGTTGCTGATGACATTAGGTTTATAATACCCAGAAATTCATATCCAGGACACATGGCACGGTGGATAACGGTGTTGGTTAGATCCAGTGACAGGACCCAAAGAGTGTGAGTTCAATACCCGGTTAAGGCAGTGGAGAACTTTCAGAGGGAAATTAACAAGAGATAACTAATAACTGGCATCCATCAAACATGGCAACTAGAACAGTCTACCCCGGTGAGCGAAATAAAGGGGTCAGTTCGACATTCCAACCACCTGAAGAAGGCCGGATAAATATGGCGACAAAGATGAGGATAATAGTTCAAATGATATGCTTGATTTTAGTGTCTTCGTTCTGTAAATTGAATGTATCGGGTTCATTTTTGCTAACAGTCATGTTTTCTGTCTTCTTGTAGTTTATACTTCCTCCCTTCATCTAGCTCTCCTTCGCTACCTTCTGTAATAGATTTTGTAGTTTCCTTTCTGTGTCTGCAGTCAGCACTAAGTAACTCATGCTGTTAAGATTGTGGCCGCCAATGATGAATCCTGATAAGACTTCCATTGGTACGCCAAATATTAACCTCCCAGAAAGCGAGTCGTTCCGCCTTTTCAAACTAACGTTTTTCGTTGACTCGAAATGGAAATATAATATCGAATAAACAGTTTAGTCTACTGCTACGATTGTTGGTACACTATGTCGTCTTAGAGAATTTTTTCTCGCTGGAATCTTACATATTTAAAATCCACCATTCGTCTATGCTTAGAATATCGCTGTCACGTATGATCTAGTGCGCCTCGTATATATTTAGAGATTCTTGGAAAAATCGGAGGAATTGTTATAGGTCCGGACCTGGCAACTTAGCTTTTGTCAGGCTCCAACCGGCTCCTTTTCCATAAATATTTTTTTTTATGGATATTGTTATGAGGTACTTTCCTCTATGGTATCTATGAATGTAAGTGCACAAGGGAAAAGGTAATAGTAAATATCAAGACACCTAGAACCGTAAAAGACAGGATATTATGTAGTGCTATGATCTTTAAAAATGTGAAATATCATGACACGTCTATTATTATTATTATTATTATTATTATTATTATTATTAATAATAATAATAATCAAAATACAAGGCCCTTGAAATCGAAATCTCAAAAATGTGGCATATGGGAACATCAACAACCCCTGTTGTAGTTGGAGCCCTCGGATTGATTGGGAAATATTCCAGTAGACTAATTGAAGTGATCCTGGAAGCCCATACCTTAAAGAAATACAAAAATTGTTCTCATGAGTAAAGCCCACATCTTACGAAGGGCTATGTCTATGTAAAAAAAATATATATATATATATATATATATATATATATATATATATATATATATATATATATATATATATATTCAGTGGAAAACGACTTGATGCCATTCCTAACCTTAGGTCCCTGGGAGGGGCTCGGAAAGAAATGAGTAAACATCAGAAATCAAAGTAATAATAATAATAATAATAATAATAATAATAATAATGTGCTTTACTACTATGGAAGAAATAAAATAACAATATTTTATTTGATTTCTAAGTCCAAACAGATCATGTCAAGGAAGTTCAAAAACCGAACTTATTGAAAAGCACTATAATAATTGTACAATTATTTACTTTAATGCCTTTGCTATTCCATATAATACAAGTGTTGACTTCAAATAAACCGAAAACTTTGGATAAGACCAGGAAGCTAAACAAAGATACCAAACATGAATGTAGAATTGATTTCTGTACAGATAAGTCCGCTTGAAACACAACCGAGAAAAATTAAATGGCCTTAACATCAGCAAGAAAGAGTTGAAATTCTTTGGCCACATAAACTTCACTTCGTTCGATCACCGGAGGTAAGCAACGTTGAAATTTGTCAGTATCTAGATGGGTGCTGTAAGCTTGGATGTGTAGATGGTGTAATGATTAAAGTCCCAGTATGAGAAATGAGAGAGCCGTTTTCGAATTCCTGTCAGGTTCGCTATATTCACTTACGTGCAACTACCAATGATAAAGGTATGAATCCAGCTTTTCTTCTACCAGCTATAACGGCTCGAACTGAGGAATCAGAGATCCGAGTTCGGATTCAAGTCGAATCCATTACATTCACTTACATGCTAATAACCGTGGGAAAGATATGAATAATCTTCTTCTACCCCCAGTCATGGGTAAATAGCAGGAGAGACTGGGTTCTATAGCTTTGGATGGCAACTAATCTACCGCAATAAAGAAATGGCGACCTACTGCGGGAAAAAGATACATAACCGCCTGAGCCTGTATCACGCATGGCACATAACTGACTTAACTGATTATATCAGAAAAACATGATTATCTACAAGAGATTCTTACAATCAAAAAATATGTCTCTTCTTTAAATAGACTCAAAATATTTGGTAAGCCGTAAAAAAAACAACCAATATATCTTGACTGTTTTGAAACATTATCCAAAGCATTGGCTTCTACCTTGTCTTCTGAAAAACCATGGCTGCCGGTGTAGAATTTGAAACAATTTCTGGCACGAAGCAATCACCACATACAGTACAACATATATAAGGTTGATAAATATGATCAGAGTGAGATATATATTAAATCCTGATTATATTATCTGATATATATATATATATATATATATATATATAGATAGATAGATAGATAGATAGATAGATAGATAGATAGATAGATAGATAAATTACATTCGAGCCAGAACAAAGAGAAATGAAACTGTCTAGACAAATGAGATGAATGTAAGAGTAATAAGCCACAAAAATTCCCGCGTTTTCGACAAGTGAATGAAATGAAATTGGATGGAGGGAAAGAGGGAAATAGACGAAAGGAAAGAGAATATGAACAGTTGAGGCGAAAATATACAAAGAATAAAAGAAATTGGGAATCGTGAAAGAAGAGGGAATTGTAGTTTGGTAAAAGCGGAGAAGGAAGATGAGAAAGTTGAAGCGAGAAAAATAAATATATTGGAGGAAATGGATGGAAGAATAAAGAATGAGAAAAGAAGAGAAGTAATCCGTATTGGAGAAAGACATTTCTGCTGGAAACAAAGGAACGTTTGACTAAATATATGACGCAGAAAAGGGATCAAGAAATATGCCAAAATTTGGTAAACAGGGAAGAAAATGTGAGAAACAGAAGACGAAAGAACGTAAAATAATTCAAAAATAATAAAACGAAGACGGGGAATAAATGTGTCAAAAAAAAGATAAAGAAAATAAAATATATGAAAGAAGAAAAAAAAAAGAAGAGGAGGTAAGAATGAGAAGAAGACGCTAGGCCAAGGAGACGGAAAAAGCAGATGAGGGAAGAAGAAAAAGAAGAATGAAAGGGTGGAGGCAAACAAGAAAGCGTTGGTAGCAAAAGAAGAAGAAAATAAAGAAAATAAAAGAATGAGTCTGAGGAAGTAAAAAGGAGGATGAAGACAGAAAAATGAGAGGAGACAAAAAGCGATAGAAGAAGAAGAAGAATGATGAGGAGGTGAAGGGGGAGGAAGAAAACGAAGAAAAAGTGATATAGACGGAAGAAGTGACACAGAGCGTACAAAAAGAAGAGGAAGAAGAAAGCCTAATAGAGAAGAGCGATTGTAGACAATGTATAGGTTGACGAAAGTGTGAGAAGAAAAGAAGAGGAATGAGGAGATAATGTAGTAGTAAAATTAGTAGCAGTAGTAGTAGTAGTAGCAGAATAAGGAGGAGGAGGAGGTAAGGAGGAAATTAAGAACAGAACTACAATTTTAAAGATAATGAGAAAAGAGAAGAAAAACAAAGTTGAAGGTAAAGAAAAAAAAAATAACGGTCACAGAAAGACGATGAGAAAGCAAATGACAATATTTGAAACGAAGATAAAGAAAGCAAGAGAACTTGGACATTGCACAAATAAAAGGCGGCAAAGAAGAAACGGAGGAAATGAAAAAGTCAGTGAATGAAGTTGAAACGTAGACCAAATAATTCGAAGCCAGACAAAATGATTTACCTCAACCAGAAAGCAATATTGCTTTTCGTTATTGAAACCTCATTTTCGCTTTTTCATTTATCAACTTCCGCACGACTTGCGAGGGTGGGGTAGGCGGAAGTGACGTCTGAATTGTGTGAGGGATGGGAGGAGAATCGGTCAGATATCTGCTGGTGTCGGGTATCGAATCAGACGCTGTAACGCATATCACCAACAGTCTCTGACGAGTAGACAGTAAAATCTTTGTTATTAACTTTTGCTTTTGTTTTTTTTTTCATTTACTTTATAATTTGTCATTTACTTATATAAGAGTTATCTACAGAAATGATCCAGTCAGTTAACAATTATAAAAATATAAGGCTTTAGTTATCTTCAAAATATTTATCTTGTAACATGTCTCTTGACAGTAGCGCTTTGTGGTCATCAAATCGTGCAGGCACGCTATTAGTTTGATTAAAATCAGTGTAAACAAGATTTTTACCAAGTAAATAACTAATATATGAAAATGACTGCATTTTGATAAAACAATTTTTTTTTTTTAATATATAACTGATGAAAAAAAGAGAGAGAATAAAAGAGTATGTATACAAATGAAAAATAATATTTAAAGTGGAAAATTCTGTGGGTGTCACACGTGTATGTGCGTGATGTGTGAATAAAGTTCAGTCACTGTGTAAGAAAATAACCCTATGCTCGGGAACAAGGTGTGTTGGTCTTTCTTCTACCTCATGCTCGAAGGACAATAAAGAAAGAGAGAAAAAACAGAAAGTAGTCTGGTTTTAATAGGTACTTGGAAGAGACCTCTAAAGACTTCATTGTAAAACTGGCGAAGCTATGTTGGGGTAACCCACATACTCTATCCAAGCTATCACAGCACATTCCCAACCAGTATGCAGTATATCCATCAGCCTGGAATTGTCGTTTCCAGAGGTAATCATTCTGCAATATCCACAAATTCACTTACTCTCTGGCTTCTCATGATCGACTGCGTAACACCATAGGAGAGTCCGTGCGAAGGAATGCGAAAGCTAGTTCATTTTTCATTACGAAATACTGCATATATCACATGAAAATAAGGGGATGATGTTTTGAGATATTCCTGAATTACTGGATATTTTCCAAACAGATGAAGTTGGATTACACTGGGCGTGGTTACGACATACCAACATTTTTGGGGTCTTTACTTTCGGGATACTCGTCTTGGGGAAATTTTGTTCCAGTAGATTAAAGAATATTTTACCAATTTTCGTTTTCACTGATAAATTAAACGGGGGATTGAACCACAATTTGTTTATATGCCTATTCTTATTCTGGGTTTCATAGTCGTCTTTTATGTTAATGTATTCTAGTTTATCTTTATGTCCACTTTTAGCTAGAACTTGCTCGTTAATTAATTTATTAGCATCGAAGATGTTTTTATTCGATGAATTGGTAGATAATCTATGGCTAATGCCTTTATAAATATGTTTTAGAATATGGGCCGGATGGTTAAATCTTATATTTAAATACAGTGGGTCCTGGTTATCCTTTGTATACGGAGAAACAGGGCCATCTCGTAAATCTAAACTGATGTCCATGTAATTAGTGACTTTAAGGTTTGTTTCAATTTCAAAGTTGAATCCGAATTTTTTAATGAGCCAGTGCAGCTTTTTTCGGATTATATCGCATTTTCTGGGATTACTTCTATCAACTATGATTAGTCCATCATCACGATATAGCCCATGGTTATTAAAATCTACGTAATTATTTAGATTATTAAGTAAAAGACATCCTCCTAATTCACACACCTCTGCTCCATCATATGCCCCCATGGGATTGTCAAAATTATTTCTATCGTCTCTTTTTTTATCCATAATTCATTATTATGGAACAGTAAGGTCTCGTGGCAGTGTCTAATTAGATCTTTTTTATCATTAGAAATCTGTATGAACTCTTTGGCTAATAGAAGGGCTTCATTAACTGCTTTTTTTTCTGTAATTGACGGATAGTATTCTTTAATATCATATTTAATAAATGAACATCTAATGTCTTTATTATAATTCTTAAACCACCTAATACAATCATGGGAATAACGCCATTGGTTTATATTAAGGAAAGTCCTTAAAGAATCACATATCTCCTGTAAAATAACTTTACTAATTTTACCAAATTGCGTTTTGGTGGGATTTATTAGTCGACATTCAGGGTTACTTAAAACATTACTTTTGTGATCTTTTACAGTTATGAAGCAATTTTTTATACTCATTTTTTCGACTCGATTACCTAGGTTCGATTTATGAGCTAAAATACTGGCTACCTTACCTAATTTAGCTTTCTATATTATCAGGCGCTTTTTGTAGTGTTTAATGACCTTTTATATAATGTTTTCTTATACGTTTTAGGGTTCATTTTATATAGAAATCTGGATTTATCAGCTTTCTCATAAACATTTTTGTTATTCTTAATCTCTTTCATGTTTTTACTAATTTGTTGCTGCATACTGTCCCCACCCCCAGTCCCTTCATCCGTTTACGTTAGGTTTGTGACTTGCTCTTTTTTTTTCCCTATCTCTCTGGACCTCCAAAAGCCACGTTAGGTTTTTTTTTCTCCAAAAACCTCCTTCCTCGTTAAGTATCGAAGGAATTCAAACTGACTTTTTGATGATTCTGAGTATAAATGCCTTTTTTCCTTTCTATTGTAATTTTCATTAAGAGTTAGGTGTTGCTTACTCGCTCCGTTCAATAATTTTTAATTATCTTTCTGTAGAAAGACATTTCTGCTGACCATCATTAACTACCATATAAGGGGATGGCTATCACATAGCAATCACACTCACTTTCACACCGCCGTAACGTAGCTTCTTTTCCCAGGGTCTTTTCTGTAAATATTTCCATGGTAAATATTTTGAAGAACTTTACTCTGTGGTATCTAGATTTATGATTTTCAGCGCAGTACTAGATTGGCGGCAAGGTCTCATCATTTTACAGTAGAAATGGCTATAAATTCTCCGTTAAATGTTTCTTTTCTTTCACTTCTTGCTTGCGGAACTCTCTTCCGGCTTCTGCTTCCTAGCTAAATGTAATCATCATGAATTGAAATGCGATGCCAATCCCTAACCTATGTCTTAATTCCTGTTCTTTTATTCTTCTCTAGCGTTTTTTTATCTCATAATTTCTTACACATCGTTACGCCTTGCATCTTAGTTGATTTTTAACCTTACTTGAAGTGAAATAATTATTTCAAGAAATTAACTTTCCCTTAGATTCTAACGACATTTTTCTACTTCTCAGCACCTTGCTTAACTTTGGGAATAACTCTGTTGTTAGTCCATTGTGTCTTCGGATCTCGGTGCCACTTTTCCTATTCTCTGTTAAAATGCTTCCAAAGTATTTGAACTTCTGCACCTGCTTGATGTTGAAATCTTCAGTTCCTAACTCGCATCACGGGATTCATTAAATAAACGTCTAGAGAATTAGAGTACACTACATACATTATTCGGACTATTGTCCTCATCTTTGTTGCCATATTTATCACAACGTTTCGACCGTTGTACGCTCCGGCCTTCTACAGGTTTTTGGAATGTCGAACTGAACACTTTATTTCGCTCGCTGCGGTAGACTGTTCTCGTTCCACATGCCAGGTCTAATGGAAGTTATCTATCAGTTATTTCCTGTTAATTCACCTCTCCAAATTCTCTACCGCCTTAACCAGGTATTGAACCCACAACATTTTGGGTCCTGTCACTGAATCTAACCAACTCTTTTATCCACTGTGCCATGTGTCCTTAGGGTTAAATTGTGTACCTAATACCTCATCTCAGAAATATAGACAGATACTGATACATCAACGTATTAATTGTTACATATAACACCAAGGCCCATACTGGAAGTATCCTACATGAAGAAAATAGTTACCGTATCGCATCCATTTTAACGGCAGACAACTACAGAAGTACTGATATCTAGAAGTCAATACACACGCAGAGCTGGGGAAAAAATATGCAAGCTGCCAAGCTTTCGCTTGCCGCAGAAGATGACCGTTCGTCTCTGCATCTCTGACTTCGCAGAACAAGCCAGACGTGTGGCAATCGGATTTGTGCTTC